TATTATTATTATTATTTTTATTTTTAATAAAATGCTGAAGTGGTAGGTAGATGCAAGATAAAGGTAGAAAACATAGTTTAGTGCTGTAAGAAGGCAAATGTAGATGATCAGATGATCAGGTGTGTGCCTATGGACTAAGTATTAATCCAGGCTAGACAAGGGCATCAAGACATCCACGGATGCAGAAGATTTCTCTCAAAGCAGGGGGGGTGAGGTTCTGAGCCTCACCTCTGTTGATCCCCAGTTTCTCACCTGATGGCCCCCCTGCGACTGTGCCTGTCTTAGGTTGTTCCTCCCTTGAGGAATCTTACCCGTCTCTGGCTAACCAGTCATCTTCCGGGGCCACACAGGGAAATGTAAAGTTGGTAAGTGAGAGAGAAGCCATATTGTTTGAAAAGGTTAGCTTTTTACTTCTTTGCAGATTTATGCCCTGTGGCTTCTATTCCCAGCATTTGTCTTGAGGTACCTTTACCACTTGGAGGATTTATGATACTCAGTAAATTCGATATGAGGCATGAATTCTATTTAAGGGTTGTAATTAGGAAGGAAGAAGAAAAGCTATAGAGGTAGCAGACAGAAGAAAACATGGGAAGATTGATTATTTCTTTGGATACTGTCTACTTTTTAAGGCATAAAACAGGCTGGAGAAGAGAAAAGAATAGATTTAGAGAGGCTACAAAAGGGCAAGGGGAGGCTTAGCTTAGTTGAGTGCTTGAGAAAAGGTATTTCTACAGACACCATCATCCATTTTTAACACAAAACTTCATCTAAATGTTTTCTACGTCGGATTTCCTTGAATACAGCATTGGACCAGCTGTACTGGTCTCTGGCTGACTGCGACCCCAACCCTGTCCCTGGCTGCTAAGTGCTCCTCCTCCCCCACTCCTCCACTTTGGAGATGGTCTTCTTCACCTCTGTAAGATGACCTTGGGCAGTTGAATAGTGATCTTGTGGTCTTGTCTGCAGTGTTCTGAAACTACACACTCCTAAAGCCATGCTTCTTGCTGACCGATGTGGGCAATTTTAGCCTTCCTCACAGTGCCCTAGGTATCATTTCCCTTAAGACCCTGGCAAGGATCTTTTCAAGTGTGGTGGGAGATAGTGGCCAAGTAGAATTCTCCTCAGACCCCACATACCAGGTGACCCCAGACCCTCTCTGACCATGGCCTATCAGACCCGGTGGCCTGCCACCGATACTTAGTGGTCCTCACTCCCCGCACCGTACCCCCCACCCACCTACACCCACCGGTGGTCTACCCCAGTTCCGAGGGCACTTGAGGCTCCCATCCCACCCCCAGGAGCAGCACCCACGACTGAGCATTCTCCACCTCTTCGGCCTGGTCACCCCACAAGAGGGCTCTGTGATTCTACCCTCTTTGACCAAGGCTTCATCAGTTTGGTCCAGCCACTGAGGGAAGGAAGTGGGGACCTGGCAGACAGGAAGGAAAAGAAGCCCGGAGGGAAAGGGAAAGGCACCTGCAGAGGGCCAGCCACGGTGCTGCCACCATCTGACAGGTGCCACACAGAGTCATTTAGCCTTCCCGAAACAGAAGACACCTTCCCAGCCATTCTTATCATATGAAAAACCCTAACTTTAAAGTTAAGTATGAGGACACAAAGCAAACATTCAGCAAAAACAACTCTTTTTTAATATTATAGATATACAGGGCTTTAAAAAAAATTTTTTTTTTGGTGTGATATAATTGTGTCCTTCCAAAACAGCGGCACCTCATCTCTTTCCACGTCACCCCTATGATTCTGGTGGGGGCCGCCAGTTACATATCTTAACTGGCCAGGGGCATATCTCAGGATAGATCAGAGCTTTCTTTCTTGGGTTTTCCAAATTGGAACAGGAAGGAAAGATTGTCTTCTAGTTATTAAGCATCTGTTTTGCCTTGTGGAGAAAGCACAACTTTAGCTGGAAGGACAAAGCTAAAGTGCAGAAGGAAGCAAACATGAGAACTGCAGAGAGAACATGAGAGATCCCTGATATTATTGAATGCCTGGCTGTGGTCACCCAAGAGGCAAGCTCGACTCCTGCCTTTTCTTAATTTTGGTCACTTGCATCAGTCAATTCCCCCTTTAATCTAAGGCAGTTTGAGATGGATTTCTGCCATTCATAACCAAGGATCATGAGCTGGCATCACGGGAAATGTCCCTAGTTAGCCTAATAGCTGGCTAGATATGGTTTTAAAAGATTAGCAAGACAATATTATCTAGAGATCCCATTACTCTGGGGAAGTCTAACACAGCCCAGCCTTGCCTACCTGCTCTGGAGCAGGCTCAACAAAGTATGTAGTGACAGCGGCGATGCTAGGTGTGATGTCATATAGCCAGCCGATACCAGTGATCACAACATGCAGGATGTGCTCCCGACTATGGACGTAGTGATAAGCAGTGCTAAAGACATTGGCGACACCCTGTGGAGACAGAACATTTTAATTGTCTTTTCATTTTAAAATGGCAAAATAATTAGCGGTGCATCAATTGGATTGTCTTTTAATGATAATCTACTTCCTACAAATTGTTCATCAGCTCTCAAAAGGCAGTGTTCCAAATTCTACCAAGAAAAAAGGATCATCAAGAAATAAAAGGTATAAGGAAAACATTTATTATGTTTCCTGATAATCATCCAATAATATTTGTGATATGTGCTATCAGAGAATAGTGTTGGAAGAAAAAGATAAACTTTTTGAAATGAGAAAAAATGTTTAAAAGCCAAGAACTAATGCGAGCTTTGGGCAGATGTGAGGAGCTGTTCTGGTCTGGTGCAGTGTTAATGTTGGCATCTTTATGTGGCTACTGCTCTCTGATCAGCAGTACAGGATATGGGGTTCCCAGGCCTGCAGCATGCTAAGTTACACAGTCTTCTTATAGGCATAAAGAGAGCCTGTTCCACAGAGAAGGGTTGGGAAATCCTCGGAACCCATCTGTGGTCTTGTCAAGAAACTCCGTGAACCTCAAATTCTTCAAAAAGAGATGTGTTTTATATTAGGACCCAAGGCATCTAAAGGTACCCTAGAAGTCTTTACCTCCAAGGGCCAGAGAGTCAATTTATAATTCATTTTGACATGTTCTCTAACAAGACTATAATGGTTCACCTATTGATAACTCTATTCTCCTCCATTTTGCTTAATATCTTCATATATTCTTATGTCAGATGAAAATGAATCTTGTTATTAAGAAGATGTACACAGAAGAAAAGGTTCTGCCACTTCCTCAGTTATACCTCCACTAAGTGGGAAGAGAAAAATTTTAAATAATAGTAAATAAACATAAATAGCCAGAGGCTTATAGGGGAACAAATGGATAACAAGTGCCTCATTGCTGTTATATCCCAGTCCATTGCTTCTGAAAGGCTTTCAATTGTCCTTTGCAATTTCTATTTATAAAATTAAATTAAAATGCTTGTAGAAATGGTCTAGTTATTTTATAGTCTTAAAAGTACTTTCAGTGATCTAATTTTAAACTTGAATACTTAAGAAACATTTAGGTTTTTTCTTTCATTCCTCATCCTCAAAAATTATAACACTAAAAGAAAGAGCTATGGAATAGCATATCATATTTAACACCATTTGTGGAAAGAGCAAAGAATTTCTAGGTATTAAAATAAAACAGAAATATGTCCCTTCTAAAGGTTTATTCCAATTTTGCGGATTTTAATTACTGGTCTAACTGGTGGATTTTGGTTCTACAGCATAAAATGCTGTTTCTATGATTAATGCAATGAGACACATATTAACAATCTTCCCAGAGAGGCTGAGGCATAGGTGGGCAACTGAGGCTGAGAGTCCTTCCATGTGTAATAGGAACGTCTTCAAAGACTGATACATACACACAGAGAAGAGCAACAAATATGATGACACTATCCATATGCACAGTTTTACTCTCACCTAGTTTCAGGTTTCACTTTTTAAAAAGTATAGAAGGAAAGGTCATCCTACCAATGCTCTTTAAGAATTCTTCTCTGGCTTACCTGATAGAACTTGATCTCATGAGGTAAAAAGATGTTTATTTTTTGAGGATCTTTTAGGGTGTCAACAGCCATGACCCCAAAGGTCCTCATATATGCATCCTGAAGAGGCAGAGCCAGAAATGACCCATTTTGATCACTCTTCTTGAGGGAATCGTTCCAGAAGAAGATGTTTCCGTGGTGCTGAACTTGGGGCACGTGCACTGGCTTCCCTTCATCCACTACTGAGAAGCTGAGGAATAGGAATACAGGGTGGGAGAAAGGCACAAGAGGGGGCTTTAGACTAAACTACGCAAGAAACTAGATCAAGGCTCTATTCATAATTACTGGCATTATATGTCAGAGAAGTGGACCCAGAAAATTACCAGTTTTGAGAGTCTGACATAAGAGAAAGATTTAAAAAACAAGCTTAGATCATAACAGAGGAAAATATATAAACAGAATGCAGGAGACATAACTTATAGAGCAGGCAGAAATAATCAAGCTGATATTGTTGAAACAAAGTCCCAACATGGCAAATTAATGCCTAAGAGTGAGCTCTAGAAATGATCAGATGAAATCATCCAAGACAGGAAAGCCATCACCTTCTACTCTAGAAGCACTGGTGATCTGCAGCATTTCTTTCTTGGGATGCCACTAGACTTTTGATATTAGTTTACTTCAGAAAGGTAATTATTTTTTTAGAAGGGTGAAACCAGACTCTTCAAGAAATTCTTACCTGATTCCCTTCATGTCCCTGTAGAGCACTCTGTTCAGTACAAATGGAGCATCATCTAAAGTACAAGCTACATTCCTCAATAGAACATTCCCTCTTTCAGGCAGTAGTAGGTTTTCCTCTAAGAGGGAAATGTGAGCACTGATCTTCTTGTTTCCATGGGCTTCAGCATCCTACGGCAAAATGTTTCTGACCATGTATCTGCCAATAGCCAAAGGGCTATTTGCTTAACCATGTGTCCCTTTGTTAGCCAGTTTGTGCATCTGACCCCAATAATTTCTGAATACATGATGCAGATATTATCATTCATGGGCAGTGGGGAAAAGGCTGACACCACAGCTATCTCCCAAACCTGAGTTTTAGTGAGTGGAATAGATTTACTTTTATGCCAACTAAACTGATTTACAAAAAAAAAAAAAAAAAAGCTCTCCAGTCTACTTAAATTTAGAGGTTTAAAACTTGGATCCCTTTGAACTGTAGTCATATTGTCTGGGCTTCTATTAAGAATATTTATTTTAGAAAGCTGGCAATAAGATTGGCTTCATTTCACTCATATTTCTTGACCACCTACTATAATGTGAATATGGAAAAAATGCTATCAAGGAGCTCTTAACATAGTTTGGCTATGACACTTGATTTATGTCATTTCAGGCAAGGATTTCTTAGGGCCCCTGATTGCAGACTTTATTATACTAACAGTCTTAGGTGTTTACACATTTATTGAACATATCTGTAAATTTGTGACATAAGAGACACTTTCCTTGACATTTGTCGCCTATTTTTTTTTCCTTCTGACTGTATTCCTCCTTTTCTGCATAAACAATCTAGAGTAACTAACAAGACTATAGTAAGATTTCGCTTAGAGCACAGCAGAGCTCCAAAGCAAGCTGGAGTAGCACCTCTTTTTCTTGATTGGTCTCCTGTTCATGGTCTCTTCATTTCAAACTACATTGGATCAATGGAATATTTGAAGACAGCCATTCTTTCTGCCTGGGAGGAGCAGCAAGCTGGGAGTCTCTGAGCGGGTAGCAAGGCTGTGGGCAGTGGTCCTTCAGGGTCATGTGTTTTAAGTGACAGGATTCTGAAAGAGTCTCAGCTTGTTTCTAGGCAGTGCTATGGAATATTGTATAATATTGGATCCTACTTACAATGACTTTATGATTTAAATAATTCCTTTTTAAACTGACTTGCAAAACATCGTGCAAGGGAAATGTAGCTTGAATGGCTCACACATCTCTTTACTGGTTATTTTTCAATATCAGTCTATTGTTTGATCTAGGTTTATTTGACTCTCAGCACAAATGAAATGAGAAATCCCGACATAATTCTGTCTTTTATACCTTTCCTCTCTGCTATTACTGTGCCCACCTGCAGTCATTCCAGTTACATCTTTCCAAGGCTTTGGGTCCTTGTAATGCATTGGAATGAGTCAAATATTTATGGCAGTACCCAGTGATTTTTCAAGAAAATTTGGTGTACTCCTCTTTTGCAACCATTGAACATCACCTACTATGAGGAAATGTTTCCTTTTATATATTATTTTAGGAAGCATACCTGGGTGAGGGCCCTAAAAGTTTCAGTGTATACTGGCTCCAGGGATACCCCACTTGTCTCTGCAGCATGTTGGATTTGGTGCAGCCACTTCCGTCTGGCACAATTCCTCAGACTCTCAATATGGCTCCTTTCTAAAGCATTCATCAGAAACTCCACAATGCTTTCCAGAACATTATCTTCATTGCCCCTGAGTTCAGATACAACCAATTCTATGTATTTATGAAACTGCTTTGAAGACAATCTCACTTCATGACCAGGGTGTGGCTTTGGAAATTGGCCATGCAGTTTAGCTAAAAAACAGAAACAAAACCAAGAACTAACCGAAAGCTAATTTTGCTGGGGCAGATACTTTTATTTTCCTTTTACAGCTAACAGAATCCCCTGGTAACTGTTTCCCATGGAAAATCAGGTATATCAAAGGCATCTCTAACCTAATGGAACATCTAACAGTTACTTTTCTATGCTGAGCTCAAGATGACTCTTATGTCATTGTCTTTGTTTTGTTTAATTCTACCATTCAACTGGTAAAACCCCAGGGTCAATTTTGACTCCTCCTTACCTTTTACCTTCTGTATCCAACAGCACTTAATCCTATTGTTAGTTTTTGCAATGTAGTTTGTGGCCACTCCTCTCCATTCATATTTCCATAATCCCAAACCACTATTAATCACTTTGTAATTGGATTATCAGTAGTAAGGCTGAACACATATTTATAAAATTAAATTAGAACCCAACGTGAATTATGCAATTCCCTAGATCAAAGTCCTACCATGTTTGGATCCAGTCCATTTTTCAAAAGAATCTGTCATAATAACATATAAGAATTATTTGCTACAGTATCCCCATTCTACTCTTGGTCCCTGACCATGCCTTGCACACTTCTGCATCACATCTTTTATTTTTTTAATTGTACAATCGTGACTCTACTACCAAACTGGAACATTATCAGTAGCTTACATCTTCCTCTATGCCCCTGCCTTTTTCCATCCCCCCCTTCATATCCCTACCAATATCCTGAAATTTCTGGAAGTTTCTAATTCTGTGATTTTATTTAAACCCCAATATTTAAATCTTAGACACAGAAATAGATAAGAAAGGTGGAGCAAAACAAAACAGAAATTAACAGACAAAAAAGAGCTGTTTGAAGATTCGCCAATCAGTTATTAGCTAAAGTTTAAATCTAGAATTTTCTTCCTTTTTTTCAGAAGCTAAACCTGTCTTTGTTCTTCTATGTGAATATCTGCTCAGCACTCGTCTCAGGCCAGGTGGTTACCAATATGCGTCTAGAAAGAGTCGTTTTGTATAAGCCTACCCTTAGAGAGAATAGTTTGTTCTTCCTGCTTGCAGACATTTTCTTCTGGCAGCAGATTCTGTCTCTTCATTACCTTCCTTTATTCTCACTTGCCAGGCTTAACCTATCACACTTTATGCTTTCTACCTATCCACATTGTTGTACTTCAATCATATACTGGAACTTCCTTATAACATCATCCTCAGGTCTTAAATTCTGGAATTCACCATGTCTAACTCCTTCATTTTATAAATGAGGTCAACAGTAATTTGCCCATGGTCACATGACCATTAAGTGAATTATCCAGTAATGGAAAAGAGCTCTCCTTTCTCTGTAGAACATGCTTCTCTGTTATGAAATCTGCCCATTCTACAAGTGGAAACCACCTTATTGTATTGTGTCTTTTGAAACTTCATTAAGTAAATTCTTTTTGGATGTAGTCTAAGACAAATGTTGTAGTATAATGTAAAGTTTGCACAAGGCATAATTAATAAAGGACACATGACAACTGATAAACTGAGGTACATTTGAAGATTAACTAATAGTTATTTTTGAAAGGGCTGGAGAACTTAACTAATTCAGATCATTCTTTCCTGCATGCACTATATACTTTAATAAGAATTGGAACACTGATATGCCCAAGTCACCAGATAAATACTTAAACCCAGTGAAGAGTAAAATAATTTATACTGGGATCTAGTGAAATGAAGGAGGGAACTTATTATACTGGAGTAAGAAATTTAGAAGCTTTTGTTTGGGATGTATTGATCAAAAGAGAAAAAATATAGGAGAAGAAAAGGTCATGAAAGAGAGTAAGAATTTAAGGTAGCAAATTTAAGAGAAATTTGCAAGCCAGTCAGACTTGAAAGAGCTGAAACAGACTTTGCAGAGGCAGAAAAACACAAGAAGAGAAAATAGGCAGAACTGTGGAATGCTTTGGATTCTTTTAACCCCAAAAGTGAGGTAGTCAGGTACACAAAAGGAATTTAATTATGTAGAGTTAAGGTCTTGGACAATGCACTCTGCAGCATATTTCACTCTTGAGTGCTCTAACATTTTCTACATTTCCACCAGCAATACACAAGGGTTACAATTTCTCCATATCTTTACTAACACTTGTTATTTTCTGTTTAAAATTTTTTTAATTAAAAATTTTTCAAATTATAGCAATACTACATAAGCAACAAAAGCAAAAGAAAATAGGTGGGACTACAGCAAACTAAAAAGCTTTTGCACAGCAAAAGAAACAACCAAAAACTGAAAAGGCAACCTACAGAATAGGAGAAAATATTTGCAAATCATGTATCTGATAAGAGGTTAATATCCAAAATATATAAGGAATTCATATAACTCAACAGAAAAAAAATCCAATTAAAAAATAAGCAGAGGAACTAAATAGATATTTTTCCAAAGAATACATGAAAATGACAAAAAGGTACCTGAAAAGATGCTCAACATCACTAATCATTAGAGAAATGCAAATCAAAACCACAATGAGATATTGCCTCACACCTGTTAGAATGACTATTATTAAAAGACAAGAGATAAGTATTGGCAAGGATGTGGAGAAAAGGGTGCCCTTGTGTATTGTTGGTGGAAATGTAAATTGGTGCAGCCATTGTGAAACAAGAATGGAGGTTCCTCAAAACATTAAAAATAAGAGATACCATATGATCCAGCAATCCCACTTCTGGGTATATATCCAAAGGAAATGAAACCACCTTGAAGATATATCTGCACCCATATGTTCATTGCAAAATTATCTGCAATAGCTAAGATATGGAGACAACCTAACTGTCCATAAGTGGATGAATGGATAGAGAAAATGTGGTATACATGTGCAATAGAACATTATTCAGCCATAAGAAAGATGGAAACCCTGCCATTTATAACAACAACATAGATGGATCTTGAAGGCATTATGTTAACCGGAATGTCAGAAAGAGTCAGACAAATACTATGTGATACCACTTATATGTGGAGTCTAAAAAAGCCAAACTCACAGAGACACAGTGTAGACTAGTGGTTGCTAGGGACTAGGGCTGGGGAAAGTGGGGAGATGTTGGACATAGAGTACAAACTTTCACTAGAAGATGAATAAGTTCTGGGGATCTAATGTACAGCATGAAGATTATAGCTAACAATACTGTATTATGAAAGTTGCCAAGAGAGTAGATCTTCAATGTTATCACCACACACAAAAAAAGGTCATTATGTGAGGTAAAGGAGGTGTTAACTAATGCTACTGTGATAATCATTCTGCAATACATAGCATCAAATCAACACATTATGCCCCTTAAACTTACACGTTAAATGTCAATTATATCTCAATAAATCTGAAAAAAATTAGTCATATCAATAGGTGTGAAATAGTTATCTTGTGGTTTTAGAATACCAGTGTTGTAACTGTATATGTGCTATAGTATTGGAAAACTCAAAGCCAAGTTGCTACCACAATTTAAATAAGAAAATTTTTATATTTTTACCTTTCTTCATAGATTCTTTTTCCATTCCTTCCTTGTATGTGTACAAGAGTTCATCAACTTCCTTCAGATCCAGGAAGCCTGAGCCATCGCTGTCCCACTTCTGAAAGAGGGCTTCTAGGAGAAGTCTCCGTTTAACTTGGGAAGCATTTTGTCTAAGCTAGGATATAAACAGGATAATAAAGCGCAGAAGACATGTTCATTGTGCTAGCTGGCATCCTATGTTTATTCTCCCAAAAGTGAAGCACTTTTTATAAAAACAAATTCATAAAAGAAGTTGGGACTAAGTACAATATTAATGAGAAAATGACCATTTAATTTTAATTTTCTAAATACTATTTCTGTTTCACCTCTAGTCCAAAAAACAAACATTCTCTGCATTGACTAAAACACATTAACTTAGGAAGGGAACTACACTTCTTAAGAATCTTTGATTCATTCATTTCCATTCCCTCACTGTTTGTTCAGGAATGTGATAAACACACGGAGTGCCCTGTTTTGTAGTGAAGGGGGATGAATGGCAGTGTTCAAACAATGAAAAATGCCTGTGCTAAAAAATTCTTTCTATTTAACATTGACCTAAATTGTACATTGATTTTATTTATCTTCTAGAATTTTACTAGATTATCTCAATTAGATAATAAATTACTACCCATATAGATTTAATTGCTAAAAGAAAGTGAATATATACTATTTGTTTAAATGCGAGGATTGCAATTGAGGGGGCAAAAGGGATAGCAACTCTAGAATTAGGTTGAGAAGACTCATAGGACTGATGAGATTGCTGAATATGCCTGGTGAATCTAATTTACATATTTCATATAAGAGGACATAACATGTGTGTGCATTTATCTATCACCCAGGTAAGTAATAAATTCTTAGGAATTATGTACTACCTGGGCACACATGAATAAAAATAAAAATATACATTCAAGCCATCATCATATCCTTAGGTATGTGCACTTACAAATAGACTCACATAGCAGAGTGTACACGCACACACACGTGCACACACACACACATCTTTGCAATACACATACATATCTGTTCCTCAGAATCTGCTCTTCAAGCTTCCGGGGAAGAAATATAAAGGTGTACAATAAAACAACTCCTGCCACCAGCAATCATGTTATAATTAGGGGAATGAGTTCTCAGGAGTGTGGTATTAGAACATTTGACAATAAAATAAAATATTTAATGGCCATGTTCTTTGAAATAAAGTGATAAGTTTGGTTGGAAATTTTTAAAGAAGAGCCATGCTAAGAGCAACTGAGGTTTATAAATTTATTTATGATAGGGACCGCACTTGCTTAATTGATAAATAGTATTACTCACCTGTTTTAAGGCGCTGATTTTCTCTTCTTTTGTTTCAACATAGCTCCTCTTAAAAAACGAGGTGAATATCTCACTGATACTCAAGGGGACATCTTCACCAACAAATGTCTCCAGGAGTTGCACAAACTGGAGCAGATTGAAGGAAATTCCATTGAAGGCATTCCTACCATTTATGCTCTTGTAGGATTGATTATTTCTCATAATGGAGTGAAGGTCTATTAAGCAGGAAACATATACCAAAAAGTAAAGTGAACAATTTTCTCAAAGCTTAAGGTAAATATATGAATACTTCATGTAATGAACATCTGCTACTTTTTTCCCTGTCAGGAATCCATGCTCCCTTCATGCAAACAGCACACCCTCCTTTTCTTATTTAGGAAAACATCTCTGCCCCATGTCAGTTTAGATGAATCAGGTGGTACTGATCTTCCCCAACCCTTGCTGCAAGGATGGCTATGTGATATAGATCTGGCCAATGATTCACGTATGACAGCAAATAATCCACTATAGGCCAGTGAGAATTAGCTCTAGAATTTCTGGGAAAACTATTGGGGAAGAGTTGCTCTTTTTGTACCCTGATTCCTGAACTAGAATGACCTAGGCTTAATGATACTCTCATGGACATCTTGGTCAGAATATGGAGAAAACTTTGTCAGAATTGAAGGTTACGCAAAGAGTAGGATTGAGAAGCAGGGAGACAGTGTCCTATTGCTATGTTGAGCCCTTAGATTCAACTGTGCCTGAAGCCAACTGCAGTCTGGACGTGCCAGTTAATAAGTCTGTAAATACTACTACAACCTCTCCCCCAAAGAGTCTTGGCTAATATATTCATCTTGAAGCTCAATGTTACAGAATGAAACATATTTCATAAAATGTTAGCCCAATGACTTATGTTTGATTTATTCATGGATTCAATCATTCATGACCTCATGCCTTCCATATGAGATATGATGTGACTTAAAAATGATTACCCACGCAACTTTTTTTAAATGGTAAAGCAAAATTGAAATGAAGAAATAAGACCAGGAGAAGAACATGAACTAGTGGGCCACAAGCGCTTGATCAAAATATTTTGAGAATAGAAAGTTTGTTATCTGACCTGGGCTTAAATGAGAAAGAAATTGCAGACAGGAAGAAAATAATCTTGATCTGCAGATTAACCCTACTACTTGTTAGTGAACAGTGAAATGATAAAATAACATTGTAGTAAAATGTGAGTACTTGTTGGTGAAATCATTGTTAAAGACATAGTTTATCTGAGAACTACAGGCTACTGTTTGCTCTCTGTGTTGAGTGTGTTTTCTTTGTAAGTCTTCAAAAACAAGAGAGAGTCTCACCCGTCTCACATGTTGGGATGTGGAACTACCAGGGAGAGGAACAGCTGGAATGATTTCTATTGAGCTCTAACATATAATATCTGCTTCCCTTTGTATACCTGGGTCATAGCTTTGAAGCAGTTGTGGGGCCATGTAATGGTTAGAAAAAATTGTATATGAACAAGAGCATTCATCAATAGCGCATGCCTACATGTACACTACCACGAAAAACATTCATTTTGTGTTTGTTTAGATTCATCAGTTCAGGGGAAAATAATGCAAGGATCACCCACCAGTGTGTCCTAGCTAAGTCCCGTCTTTATCATGGGGTACCACAGTAAATTATATTCATCAGTTGACTGCCATATATCCTTCCTAGTTTTGTTGCTAACATGTACCTGTGAACCTGGAGTTACCATAGATTAAGTTGGCCTCTTCCTCATCTTCACATTTGCTATACTTCATTGTCCAGTTACAAGTCAAAAGTTCACCTATAAAATACACATTCCATAGCACAGCCAATTTAATTTCATTTTCACAGTATTTTTGTTCTAGAGTATAAATGTAAGGAGGATTAAATGAATAGTCACCTGACCATGACTTTCCTTCTATTTTTTGGGACTTGGGTTCACAGGATTTGTCTTTCTGAACTTCCTTTTTTGCAGTTTCTAAAAGGTACAAAAGAAAATGCCTTTGAATTGGACACTTTGTAGTCTATTTCATATCCACAAATAAATGAATGAGAGAAATGCCTTGCATATAGAACACCAAAAACCTTTTTTCATGTACTTACATTCCCATATATGTTGTGTCATAATCAACCACCATGATATCACTTAACAACTTTAGTTGTTGAGTGCAGCTGTGACAAAAGCTATTAAACCCCAATTTAGCCACACAAAGTGAGGGGTACATTTCCTAGCCTCCCTCACAGCTAGGTGTCACTATATGCCTAAATTCTAATCAATGAGCAGTGAAGGGAAGTGATGATGCCTATCCCTTCTTTCTCCTTACCTTCTTGTCAGAATGTGAACATGGGAGTGAGCCATCTGGGACCTTGTGGTTAGAGGAGACACAAGATAGGAGTTTGAGTCACTGCTTATTTCATGGGGTTGGGCTGTCATATAAATTTTGACTTTTATATGAGAAAGAAACTCCTATCTTGTTTAGATATTGCTTTTTTTTTTAAACGCTGTTATTTTGGATCACTGTTACACATAACTGCACCCCAACTATGTAAGGAAAGCCAGAAATTAGTAGCCTTGATTGGTGGAGAAATTAACACAATGCTGGGAAAAAAAGAAAGATTTCAAATTAGTTAGTGATAGTGTAGAATCTAAATCACAGGTTACACATCTCTTTGGAGTTTTAAATAAGAGTTTTCTTTGGGATTGTGGGACTTTAGAATTAAAGAGCAGAACTTTAAAAAATGTATGCTTAAGCTGAGTCTTAAATGGTATTGAGATTGGCTCTCTAAAATGTTAGAATTTTTCAACAAAAAGGACATAATTAGTATAAACAATTCAGAGGAAAAGTCTTCTGTGGAATAAATAGTTGAAATGCAGTGTGCTTTGTGTCTTTCTAGAACATATATCTTAGACATAACTGAAGAAAGCAAGATCCATTTTATGGCTGAAATAAAGAAATTTTAAAAAGTAATTTCTAATTTCAGATACCACGTTTAAAACAAGAGGGCTTCTACTGCCTTTTCAGCTTAGCTTCTACTGTCAATGACAATTTCTATACAGAAAAGCAGATCTCTTCCTTACAAATGGCCTTCTAGTGCAAAAGGAATTCTAGATAAACTGTCAATAGACACATTCTATTTGCACGTAATTGACTTCTCAAGGTCTAGACTTGTTATATTTAATGAGTAGAAAAATATGTCTAAGGTTTGCATGACTTGATATGGCAGAAGAAGATCCTAATTGAAATAAGTGTTTTCTGCAAAAGCTTTAAAAGTCACCCACAACACAAGGAGCTGATGTAGAACTGCAATGTTACCTGAAAAACTATCTTTTCTACTTGATACTGGAGCTTCCTCTTGCAGCTCTGAATTTATGTGTAGTTCATATGTTTGCTCCTCAGCCCTCTCTTCCTGTTGAGGGATTTCGATGTCCTCAAAGGAAGTGAGTTCCCTAGACTTTTTACTTTCTCTTGATATACTACCTTTTCTGGATTGTAAAGATGAGTCTGTGTCCTGTTGTTTTTCTGGAATTGTCTCTACAGGGGGTGGTTCTTGTTCTGCCACTGACCCTTTGTGAGGCTCTTCTATTACTGACTCTCTGTGTGATCCTTGTTCTATTTCCATTACTGAGTCTCTGTGTGATCCCTGTTCTGCAGTTGACCCACTTTGTGGTTCTTGTTCTGTTACTGACTCTCTATGTGATCCTTGTTCTGCAATTGATGCTCTATGTGATCTCTGTTCTGTTGTTGACCCTCTGTGTTGTCCTGCTGTTGATTCACCATAAAGTCCTTGTTCTGCAGCTGACTCTATGTGGATTCCTTGTTCTGAAGTTGCTACTTTTTGTAGTGGTCCTTGTTCTGTTATTGACTCACTACTCACTACTTGTTTTGGGGTCGACCCTTTGTGAATTCCTTGTTTTGTTAATGATTCTCTGTATAGCACTTTTTCTCCAGTTGATTCTCTGTCTTGATCTTGTTCTTCTGTTGAAATTCTGTTTGGTTCTTGTGCTGCAGTTGTCGTTCTCTGCTGTTCCGGTGGGCTTGGTGGTAGTGTTGATTTTCTGTGTTCCTCATGTTTATGTTGACTTTCTGGATTTTCTAACAATTTGCTTTGGGTTTTGCTAGCATTTTTTTGAGAAAGTAATGTATTCATCTCCAAGACTACTTTGTCAAAGTCTTCATAAATGTGTTTTTGATTATCCATATTGCCCCAGAACTCAGGCAAGTCAATCTCTTCAAATTCAATGAACGGCCCTAATGCAGAAAACAGAACATTTACCTAAACAATTGATCTTACAATGGAGAATTAGAGCTAATAAATTAATGCAAAAAAGCAGTGAGCACAGTGATTATAATATAGGCCTGTTGCCTTAAATAAATATGTTACCTTTCCCTGCAACACAATAAAGAGACAAAGGTATCCAAAGGAACATAAAATTGCTCTCTGTTATAAATTAGAAATCATCCCTTTCTAAAAGGTGTAGTTTTGGAAACAAACCTAATTCTTCTTTTGCTACTTGGAGAATTGCTAAGATAGCTAAAGCAAATAGAATTTATCCTCTAATTTTGGTCCTCCTGTAATAAGCATAGTATAGGGATGAGGAAGGGAACATATGTTTTCCACCTCAAATATCTTTTTCAAAAATTAAAAAAAATGTTTAAGTTGAAGTATCATTGATATATAATTTTATATTAGTTCCAAGTATACAACACAGTGGTTCAACAGTTACCCATATTATTAAATCCTCACCCCCACTAGTACAGCTACGGTCCATCAACATAGGAAGAGAATCATTGGCTATATTCTCCATTTTCAACACCTGTAATACCAGAATAAAAGCAAGTCTCTATCCACGATAATCTTTCACTGAATTGTGTTTTCTGATACTCATTTCCTCTCCCTTCCTTATTCCCTCCCTTTCTTTCTTCTTCAGTCCTCAATTCTTTTCCTCCACAACTTATGTAGACACCTGGTAAAGAATTCTAGGGAAAAACTGGATAACATTCACCAGAATCCCACTATTAAAAAACAACAATTACAACAAAACAACCCTGGTGTCCAGGACTACAGAGAATGGGACTCATGCCAGAAGTTTCTCCCCTTTCTTCCCAAAATATTTAGTAGTTAAGCTATAAAATTGTGATTCCCACAATTTTCAGGACTACTCTATGTACATCACCCATAGATTTTTTTAAGTATCCAAGTAATACTTTCTTAAATAGAACTAAAATATTCACATTCTTTGGAAAACCTATCCATATGAAGATTTTCTCTACAAAAAATAGAAACAGAGGAGGAGCCAAGATAGCACCGTGAGTAGGGCAGTGGAAATCTCCTCCCAAAACCATATATATTTTTTGAAAATGCAACAAATACAACTATTTCTAAAAGAGACACCAGAGGATACAGTACAACAGCCAGACTACATCTACATCTGAACTCAGCATCTCACGAAGGGGATAAGATACAAGCCGTGGCCCAGTGGGACCCAAGCACTCCCCCCACCCCAGCTCACCAGTAGGAGGAAAGGAGTCGGAGTGGGGAGGGAGTGGAAGCACAGGACTGCTAAATAACCAGCCCTAGTAATCTGCACTGGGAGCACAGACACACATTGCATGGTGTGCTAGATATTAGGGAAACGGAAAAGTAAAATCTGTGAGTGGGTCCCCGCAGCCAGCTCCACTGGGACAAAAGAAAAGTGAGTGCTTTTTGAAAGTCTTAAGGGGACAGGGGCCTCACAGCTGGAAGGAATTGTCCCGGCACACTCAGCCCAGCAGGCTGGAATCCTGAGGAACTTCAGGTGCCCCAGCACTCTGGGTGGCAACGCAGCTCTGAGGCCCCTCATGGCCATAAGCAGCCTGCCATTTGTTCCCCCTGGCTGGCCCTGCCCTGTCCACAGCAGCGGAGCAGCTGGAGAGCGACCCTGCCCACAGTGGCAGAGCAGCTGGAGAGTGGCCACACCCACAGCAACTGCCCAGAGTCTCCTCCCAGCATGCAGCTGCCTGGGCCAGACCCAGGGGCTGCCGCTGGTGCACAGCTGCCTGGTGCAGGCAGAGGAAGCTGGAGCAAGGCACAAAGGGGTGCTGATTTCACAGGAGAACACACCAGGTGTGCCTGCCACTCCCCACAGGGCTCTGGGCTGCCCTGATGGTGGCCCTGCCCATGGCAGATCAGGGGATTGACCCAGATTGTGCTCCAGGTGTGCGGGTAACTGACATAGGCAGCAGAGAAGGGCAAGGTGACCAGCAAGCAGGAAGGGACTTTGTTCTCTCAGATGACACACTTGCTACCTGCCTACCACTACCTATATCGCCATGAAAAGGCAGAAGAATTTGGTCCCATCCAGAATTACCCAGACATCCCTGAGAGAGGGCCTAGGGAGATAGATTTAACCAATCTTCCTGAAAAAGAATTCAAAATAAAGGTCATAACTATGCTGATGGACATGCAGAGAAGTATGCAAGAGCTAAGGGGTCAAGGCAGGAGGGAGAATACAGAAATAAAACAATCTCTGGAAGGACTTAAGAGAAGACTGGATGAGGTGCAAGAGACCATTGATGGAATAGAAACCAGAGAACAGGAATACAGAGAAGCTGAGGCAGAGAGAGATAATAGGATCTCCAGGAATGAAAGAATATTAAGAGAACTGTGTGGCCAAAGGAACAATATTCACATTACAGGAGTACAAGAAGAATAAGAGAGAGAAGAAGGAATAGAAAGTGTCTTTGAAGAAAGAATTGCAGAAAATTTCCCCAAATTGCGGGAGGAAATAGTCTCTCAGACCATGGAAACCACAGATATCCCAACACAAGGGACCCAAGGAGGACAACACCAAGACATATAAAAATTAAAAAGGCAAAGATCAAAGACAAGGACAGAATATTAAAGGCAGCCAGACAGAGAAAAAAGTTCACCTACAAACAAAAACCCATCAGGCTATCATCAGACTTCTCAACAGAAACCCTACAGGCCAGAAGAGAATGGCATGTTATATTTAATGCAATGAAACAGAAAGGCATTGAACAAAGAATACTGTATCCAGCATGATTATCATTTAAATATGAAGGAGGGATTAAACAATTCCCAGACAAGCAAAACTTGAGGGAATTTGCCTCAAACAAACCACCTCAACAGGATATTTTAAAAGGACTGCTCTAGATATAAGCACTCCA